TTCCAATATTTATACTTAACAATTTAAAGACGTCACAATAATTAGAAAATTCTGGAAACTCCGTCGTTCGACATCATTGGAAAATACGTGTTTCCTATTAGATAGTAGCTATTTATATGATCCATTATATCAATTGATTAAAAAATGTTGTCAAAATCTCATTCATTCTATAGCCTTTTTGAATATCACTTGAATGGGTTGTGTAACGTTGACGTTATTTGACAAACAACCGCATGAGACCTTTTACTATGTATATATGAACAAAATATTCTACCGTGGAGTTAATCAGTCGGTGATGACACTCCATTGAATGATCTCTTTTAACTGAAAAAACCTACAATAATTTCCATAAAAGGCACAGATAAAAAAAAGAAACTTTCATGTGTATTTGTGTATTCGAATTAGTTTTATTTTATTGTCTATAACTTGTAGAAGAGTCATTAACATTCGGAATACTGTCCGGAAAATTGAATTCCTTCTTCGTATGCTTCCTGTTTTTAACATTTCCGCAGAAATACTCTTCAGCCATGTTCGAATAAACTTGTATGTATTTCATCAATTATACTGTCTTCGAATTAACTAATCAGAGTAAAACCTTTCAGCTGATGGGTTCTTCGGCCTTTTTCAACTGAATGGTGCGTAGTATGTCATTTACGCCAGGAAATCCTAGTGGGTCTGAATCGAATTTACTGCTAATAAGGAAACTTTATTCTAAAAGTAATTGATCTGTAATGACCCCAATATATATCAGTCTTACCCCAGATAATATCAAAATAGATTTTCACTCTGTGTCGCGTCAGAGCGTCAGGGTAGCCTGGTGTATCAGCGAAGTGACCTGGAAAGTAACCTCTTAAACACCAGGTGTAGATTCGCTTTTTCATCGGGTGTCAGTGACTGTCCCCCCGACCTATAAAAATACCTTTGACCCAAATGTGCTTAGTGTGTGCACAAAGGGACTACCAGATGACAGGTAGATACATAAGCGCCCTACCGCCCATCCACGTGAGAAGAAGAATCCATGTTCTGGAAAAAAAGCAAAAAAAAAAACAAGGCCAGACACCCATCCGCTGATATTAATTGATGAAGTCCACATTTGAATAAACAATAACTTTACGTATAAGAGATTTATTATCATATTCTTATTAGTATGTACAACGATAAAATTATATGGTAATCAATCACAGATTACCATATAATTTTACCGTCCTGTGTATGACGATAAACTACATCCGCGTCCTGGGTAAGACGGTAAACTACGTCCAACAGCACGACCTCTGATCAGTTGTTTTTGAGGAGCATGGAACCACCTCTTAATTGCTGGTGTTCCCAGGTCCACCCTGACCCGGGGTGGTAGCACCTGTTAGCTATAGGCAAATAGTTTACCCCCAAACTGGGGCCAAAACACTACTGAAAGTGTAAAAATAGGTTTTAATACCAGCGATATATTTTTGGAAAAAAAAAACATATTACCAGCAATACATTTTTGAAAAAAAAATTGTTGGCATTTAGGTTGATATACCGTAAAACAAACCAAACCATATAATTTTATCGTTGTACATACTAATACTAAGCATGATACTAAATGGCGGTGTTCAGACTTTCGTCACCAATTCAGTTAGAATATTAAAATCTGAATGACGTATGCATTTCCCCTGTTAAGAAATAATTTTTAGAATAAAGGGTAACAAGTCTATAAAAATATATCCCTTTCATTCACTCAGCATTAGACATATTTGGACGATGTCTTCATGAGCGCATGCGCAGATAGAATTCACCTTTAAGAAGTAGAAATAAAATGAATGAGAATGTGTGAGTGATGAGTAAAACCGCAAAAATGTCATCTTGTATCTGATTTGATGTTCATGGTAAGATTGTTGTATCAGCCGAATAAGTGACCCGAAAAACCGAGCCTGACAACGAAAGCTTAAAATTTTATATAACTTTTTATTTTAGTCGTACGTTAAACTCAATTTTTAACTCAAAACAGCAACGATTCCTATGATACGACGTTACGTTTTAACATATATGAACCGGAAATTCTTTTTGATATTCAGAATAAAACGCTTGATAATAAATCCATCACGATAGAATTCGTCTTAGATATCTCGAATGCTTTTAGGGGGCTGCTACACAAACTCCCCAGCTATGGCATTTCTAGGAGAGTTTTCTTGATTATCAAGCCTTTTCTATCAGGTAGGTCCATGAAGGCTTTGTTAATGGCCAGCATTCTGATGCCCATGAGATCAATGTAGACGTCCTTACAAGGCTCTCTTTTAGGTATAAGCCTTTCAGACAACTAAGCAAATCTATGGTACTGAACTGAATATTTACTGTAGGTCATCTTAATTCACCAAGACAAATCATGTACATGTTAACACAGCCAATGACTTAAGATCAGAAAACATGAGCGTCATACAAGCCATTTATTATTATTATTATTATTATTATTATTATTTCCTTTGATTTCTGGCATTTACACATTTCTTTCCGGGTCCCGCCCAGGGACCTAAGGTTAGAAATGGCATCATGACAACTTCCACTGACAAAAAAAATGACATAGATAAAGCCCTTCGTAAAGTGTAGGCTGTACTTGTCAGAACAATTTTTTGTATCTCTTTGAGGTATAGACTTCCAGGAATCCCTTCAATTAGTCTACTGGAATCTTTTCCAACCAATCCTAGGGCTCCAACTACAACAGGGATTGTTGATGTTCCCATGTGCCACATTTTTGAGATTTCTATTTCAAGGTCCTTGTATTTTGACAGCTTTTTGAATATCTTCTATTTCATTATATATAGTCCGACAATTATTTAACATATTTTCTGTTTATACGTTATTTTTATAAATACAATTTATTTAAGTAAATGTTCTGTTTTTAATTAAGCAGCATTAATTACATGTAGCAGCCTGAATGTTCGAAAAAAATTCTTAGAAAATATGTGTTCTCCGACAGGAATCGAACGTGTATTCTGTACTCTCTCTTCTCTGTAGCCAAATAGTATAGCACGTCAGATTAAATGACGGTTTCCTTATAGGGATACAGGTTCGATTACTATTGGAGTATGCATATTTCCTACAAAATTTCTCGAACATTCAGACCGGTAAACGTAATTAATACTGTATAATTAAAAACAGAGCATTTACTTATTAAATTAATAAATAATTGAAGTAATTAATTATTTACTTATAAATTGTATCTATAAAAATAACACACATATGTGTGTGTGTGTGTGTGTGTGTGTGTGTGTGTGTGTGTGTGTGTGTGTGTGAATGCTATATTCATGGATAAAAGTGCTCAATATAAGAGATAGAGCGTATGTAAATATAAATATAATAGTGGACACTGAGGTCAACGCCAAGTGTTGACAGTTTGTTTCATGCTTAAACGCAATCTTCAGGTTATATATAAATGTGTGTGTGCGTGTGAGTGTGTCTGTGTGTGTGTACTTTATAAACATTTACGTCTTTCTGTTGTCGAACGGGCACATCTTCTTATCTAACTATTCTCGGCATCCTGCCAGACTCCATAAGGCGCCATATTTGAATATGTTCCCGGAACCAGAAACATTAACACTACGACTGCTATAACTTTTTCGATTATTGCTACGAATATTATTATTCTTTGTAACGACGTTAGAGTAAACAGTTAAGCCGTAATAACCACCACGATGCCAGTTGATACTAGAACTGCTATAGCCACAAGATAACGGTAGTACTACTACTATCATGATGACTATTAGTCATTTCGTTTCTTCTCCCTCTTTTTCTCTGCTTGATGCTCTTCTGCTTATTTTGTGTCTTAATGCGATGTTTCAAGTGAAGCATAAACATTTCGGGACCATTTCTCTAGTTCAAGTGAAACGATGCGTGTAGAACAGAAGATATCAGACTTACTGATAACTCACAAACGCTCGTAGCGGGCAGGGCAAGGCAGCTTGCGCGGGGGTGACAGGTGCTTAAGTGTGATGAACATATGGATATATATATATACGTATTTTTGTATGTGTGTTCGTAAATGTGATGGCTCTGATTTGCACACTAGCCTCTGGGTGGGTGTATAGATTCGTCTGTGTCTGCGTTTATAATTTCGCTAAAAAGTGGAATTCTTATATAGAAGACATCGCAGAAGATGCCATAGGAAAAATGGTTGGTTCCCTATAATGCCTCAGAAAAGTACCTAACTCCTTCTGCTTTACTCTATCGTTACAAAAGTTAGATCAGACCAAAAATGGAGTATTGATGTCATATCTAAACTGGAGTTGTTCAACACTCTGTTTTCAGCCTTGAGGGATTTCAAAATAGTTTACGCAACCTTGTGGGTGATGAATAATTTTTCATCCTACAACCTGTTTTCTTACAGACATCGTAAACCTCCCGTTACTCTATTGCTATTTCCATGGTTAATGTTCTTTAGTTCCACCGATTCAGACATTTACAGTTTGCCACATGCACGTATCTTCGTATACCATTAATAATGAGGAAGTTCGGGCAACTTCTTCCCAATAAACACTACTTTGTGGAATAGACTAACGAGCGGATTCTTTCGTGATTGCTACAATCTTCTTCGTGTCTAGGGTCTACCGTTATCTATCCTACATATCTTCATAATCTGCACCTTTCTATGGTTATATTCAGTAACTGTCTACCTTGAGTCGTTCTTGAACTTTGTATTTGGTGAACTTTAGTAAAAAAAAAAATTCTCGACTCTTTCCGAGATCATTAAGGCTGAGAAAATGATTCGTTTTTTACAGCTTATCAACTGTTTACAGGTTAATTAAAGCCAGTCGATATTTTAAGATTGTAAGAATATTTTAAATAATAATGGTTTCTAACGATACAAGTTTAAATAATTAACCCATATCTAGGGAGAAAAGCGATGGATTCATACCTTTCCCAAGGCTATTTGTGCATGTGAATATAATGAACCCAACAGGAATTGAAACTCAGCTCTGAGATTAACAATTCCGAGCCATTATCCATTATACCCCCAAACATGCAAGATTACAGCACCTGGTATTCCCAAGAGGTCACCCATCTTGGTACTAACTAGACTAGATGTTGCTTAACTTCGGTGATCGTACGGAAACCGGTGTTTCAACGTGATGTGGCCGTAAGAAGATCATTAATGCGACAATTTCAAAGTGTAATATTTCATAAAGAAGGAAATCATTTACAGTATTTACATTAGTCGGACTATTGTCCTCATCTTTGTCGCCATATTTGTCACAACGTTTCGGCCGTTGTACGCTCCGGCCTTCTTCAGGTGGTTGGAATTTCGAACTGAACCCTTTATTTCGATCGCTGGGGTAGACTGTTCTAATTCCACGTGCCATGTTTGATGGATGTCAGTTATCAGTTATCTCCTGCTAATTTTCCCTCTGAAAGTTCTCCACTGCCTTAACCAGGAATTGAACTCACCTTCTTTGGGTCTGTCACTGGATCTAACCAACGCCTTTATCCACTGTGCCATGTGTCCTTGTCCAATAGTCCGACTAATGTAAATACTGTACATAATACCTCATCTCAGAAATATAGACAAACTCTGAAGGAAATCATTGTCGGAGAAACTTTTGAAAAAAAATATCGATCATTGTTTAAGTAGTTATAGGGACAGGATCGACCTAATGAATCTAAAAAGCTTATCTTGCATGTCTAATTGAGAACACATTAACCGTTCAATGTCCAGACATTGTCGTCTGGTTGGTTCAATCTAAAAAGGTTCACAACCTAGACTTCTTGAGAAAAATGCCGACAGAGCTCCTGAATGCCAAATATAAATATCTGCGATAAAAACAAATTTCAGGAGATATGGCTGAAAAACGACTATATTTCTTATCGAAATGGTATGTGAAAATTTTATCAGCAATTCCTCTTTGACTAAACTTAGATGTTTGCATAAAGAAAACTATTAAGATGTTCGGAAACTAATTACGTTTTACCAGAAAGGATGTGAAAACAAATATAAATTAAATTCATTTAAATATTACTGTGCCTGGAAAGTTTTATCAGAAAGGATATAAAAACAAAGTTACATTTATTTCAATACTACCAGCTGATCGATCAGAAAAAGCGTTTAATTAGAATGGAGTAAAAACAGCATCATGTTTAGATGTAACAGAGTCTGTCTTCTTCAATTACTTTAAGGTACTTTCATTAAAAAAAACATTTTGAATTAATGCAGTTACTGATATAACACAAGTAGTCTGTGTTTATTCAATTGCAGTTAGCCGAGGACATGAAGGGGTAAAGTAGGCAACATGAAGACCCACTTCAGACCACAATTATTTTGGAGTTTTTTGAAATTCAATTTGTCAGTGTGCTACAAGGCATGTAAAATAGGATACATTTGTAAAAGTTTGCTGAAATTTGGTTGAAAGATCAACGAAAAATAAGAAAGAAATCAGTAAAAATCGTCATTTTTCGCCATTTACACGGGTTTTCAGTCTATGGGTGGATTCAGTTATCAAGTTAAATGACTGTTAAACAATCAACTTATTGTTGGCTACAACTGAATGAAGTTTGTATTGGATTGCTTAAAAATTGAAGGAGTTTTTAGTTTAAAATTTGCGTTGAGATTGATTATTCGTTTTTCACAGTTTTTCACTAAACGAAGTGGCGTAGAAATGAGATATCATTGAGCTCGGCATGATGTAAGTAACCTACATACCGAGTTTGAACGAAATCGGAAGAAAATAGTTGAATTTATCGATTTTATGATCGGCTTTATCGATTATTAATTTTTTTTAAATTATCGATTTTACGCTAAGAACATATCTCTTACATTGTACAATGCATATGCCAAGTGTGGTTAAAATCGGTTGGATCGATCTCGAGTGAAAAGGTATCACACTGACAGACAGACACACACACAGGCATCCTCTGTTTTATATATAGAGATTATTTATCAAAAATGTAATCACATTCTTTTTCAATGACGGCAACCCAGCGGGAAGGTGAATTTTTGATTCTGCGGTCAAAGACAATTTTCAATTTCTTATTTGTTGCTGAAATGAAATGTTCCGAAAGAAATGAGAAAAAAAAAGCTAAATTGGTTGTTATGGCGTATGTGGAAGAAGCTTCTATCCTAACAGACTCATTTTTCTTGTGTTTATCCTGAAGAGTGTGACCTTGCTTTGCTATTTGGCAGAATGGCTAAATTGGTTGTTATGGCGTATGTGGAAGAAGCTTCTATCCTAACAGACTCATTTTTCTTGTGTTTGTCCTGAAGAGTGTGTCCTTGCTTTGCTATTTGGCAGAATGGCTAAATTGGTTGTTATGGCGTATGTGGAAGAAGCTTCTATCCTAACAGACTCATTTTTCTTGTGTTTGTCCTGAAGAGTGTGTCCTTGCTTTTTGCTATTTGGCAGAATGGCTAAATTGGTTGTTATGGCGTATGTGGAAGAAGCTTCTATCCTAACAGACTCATTTTTTCTTGTGTTTGTCCTGAAGAGTGTGTCCTTGCTTTGCTATTTGGCAGAATGGCTAAATTGGTTGTTATGG